TCTATATATGCTACTTTAACTTCAGAACTTTGTTAGTGCGATTTAGGATTCGATGTGTTTCGCTTGTAGCGCAACGACAGCGCCGCCACATCACCCCTCTGCTCAGACCGGAGGTCGATAGTGCAGTCCGATTACCGGTGCGTCCTTAATGTCGGTGGGGAATACATGCTGTGTGTGTAAGGGCAAGTGACGCCGGTGCGAACGATATGCCGGTGTATAATTTATGCCGTACTACGCACTTGCAAGTGATGCCGGTGAGAACGATGAGCCGGAGCAAGTGCCAGGGATTGCCTTGTAGTCTGCGGTGAGTCGAGAAGAAGGCAAGTAATCTGCGAGAGTGCCGTGAAGCAGAGGCGAGCAGTAAGGCTCAGAGCCGTGCCGAATACTGTAGCGCAGAGAGTAGCTTGAAGGAACAGGAAGCATTATTATTCCAGTGCTGCGATGAACCTTTGTAAAGCTAGATGGCTTGCAGAATGTCAAAACTGCAGACAATATCTGCTCGGGAGCGAATGAATGGGGTACTTGAGGATGATGACGAAGTTTACGTTACGTTACGTGTTCATGTTACGTCACCAGTGTGGCGGTGGAGGGAAAGGGGAGATCTCCCGCCGGGTAAGGTGTTCTGCCCCGGGAGCGGCCAGCGCTCCGATTGGTAGTTCGGAGCTATTCTATATATGCTGCTTTAACTTCGGAACTTTGTTAGTGCGATTTAGACTTCGATGTGTTTCGCTTGTGGCGCGACGACAGCGCCGCTTTTCAAACCAATAGCAACTGCGGCGCTGTCGTCGCGCCACAGTTGCTATTGGTTTTGAATATACTTCGTCTTTTAGGCAACCCCAGTAAAATTACGTCTCGAATTTAACAGTATTTTAAAAGGCTATTACATATATAACTTTAAAAAAAGGAGTCAGATTTTTGTTCCACTGGGTAGTTATCAATTTGTCCACTCCCTGGTGCCCGCTTTTGAGATTGAAAATTAAACCATTTTTGTTGCAAACACATTTGATAATAAGTATTATATTATGTAATTTCTTTAGTAATGTTTGTTTCGACAGCACTTAAAAACTATTTTGAACCTCTGACGCAAAAAAAAAGGGTTGCTATAAGTTTGCTCGCTTTGTCTCTGTCTTTCTAGGGGTATGTCTCTACCACCGTAGCTTTTAAGCGGGTGTATAGATTTGGCTGCGGTTTTGTTATTTAAAAGCAGGTTTTCTAGCGTTGGTTCTTATTATATTTCTTATTTATATGTTTTATCAAAATCGGTTGAGCCGTTTCAAGGTCATCTGCTGTTTTGTTAGCTGCGGTATGGTTTTTTTCGAAGGTTTTTAAAATTTTCAATTTAATTTATAATTGATTAAAGTTGCACTGCACTCACTGGGACGTCATCGTCCCAGTGAGTGCAGTGGATTCTGCGATTGGGCTCTGTAGACTTCGGACGTGTAGGTCGAGTTCACTCCCGTCACTCAACTCTCTTAGCACATGCGGAAAATTAAAATTAAAATTAAAATTATCTTTCCTGATACACCGCATTATTTTGTGCTCTGTGATTGGTTGCTGAATTGGTGTTCTCACTGTGGTGCGCGAAGCACGCTGTCCCGGGTGACTGCAATATCACGGTGCTGTTGTGAAGTGAATCGGACGCTTGTTGTGGTGCAAAGAGTGTTTGTACGTAACTCTCCTTCCTGGTACTGGTTGCTTGTTGCATTAGGTAACAGCTAGGTATACACCCTAGCGTATCAACGCGCTATGTGTATATGTGTTTGTTTTAGGCACACACATCTGTGCTGTGTTGGCATAGTAAACAAGGTGGCGTCATTTACAACCGACGAACTGGCCGACTTTTCTAGCCGAGCCTGCCCCGACATTTAGTCTGTGTTTATTGCACAGCGCAACGCCCATCCCACGCCCGAGCCCGCGCTCGAGTCCGCACTTCTAGCCGGCCCATCCAGCCAGCATGTCTGGCCCCCTATCGACCATCCGAACGTGCTGATCGACGACCTTTTATCGCCGGGCCCCAGACCTACAACCCCTGTGTCCATAGACACAACTTATGACACCCCGTCCCCCGCGATGTCCACCCGCGGTTTGTCTCTGGTCTTCTCCGATGCCGAATCAGGCTCTGACACGGAGACCGAAACGCGCGTTCCGCACAAGCCCGACGACGAAGGCTTCACCCTCGTCCAGGGCAAAAAACGCAAACGCGCAGCCCCTAAAAAGGCAGCCGAGCCTAACTCGTCCTCCTCGTCCCCCACCGCCATTCCAGGCAAAAAAGCCAGCCCCCGCGATGCGCGCTCATCCCCCTAAGCCTGCGGCCAAATCTGCAGTGAAAGGGTCCCCTGCTGAACGTAGAGAAAAGCTGCCGCCACCCATAATCATCCAAGATAAATCTAAATGGTTAATAATGGCTAAATGGTGGATAACCTATCATACTGGTTGGATTAAAAAAAATTGCCCTAAGGTTCAAAACGCCGGTGAGAGAATTAGAATGTTCGTCAACTCGACTGAATATTTCTGCAGCGTTACAAACCACCTGCGCGCCTAGCTGATAAGCTTTCATACGTACGCTCTCCCATAGTAACGCAACCTTCACGTAGTCCGCGAGCTCCCCAAGGAGCTCGAAACGGAACATATCCTTAAAGACCTCAAAGGTCAAATTCTCCCGGTCCGAGCTCCTTCTTTATAAAGCGTGCGTAAGACCTATCACGTCTTACGCAAGCGTAGTTTTCGCGCACCTAAACCATAGTCATTTGTACGAGCTCCAAGTCGTCCAAAATAGACTCTTCCGCATAGCAACCGGAGCTCGGTGCCACCAGCGAAACTTCGACCTACACAGAGACTGTCAACTTCCGACAGTCTCTTCATACTTCAAGGATATGTCTCGGCGCTACCCAACCCGCTAGTGGTAAACGCAACCAATCGAACTCTCTGTTCCGCCAGATTCCGACGATCGAAATGTCACCGGCCAGTTATACTCAAACACTCACAATCGCCTATATAGTGTCATAAACACTGTTAGGACAACAATGGATGGGACGCAGCGAGTCCGCCAACGGGCGCGCCGCACGGGTACACCCGCGTCCCCGGGCGGTTCTCACTTGAACATCGTACGATACGAGTTAGCCGTCAGAGCCGGGACCCGCCACCCCCTGTTCGGACGGTCGTTAGTCACTCATCCATGTTATGTTAATGTGATCACTGAACTGAACACAATATTATCCCACTCCTCCAAGATTATCGATTTTAAATAAATAATCTCCCGCCCCTATTTTATAAGTCGCGGCCTTTCAGGCCGAGTTCCATGAAGCTGTAAGAGCCGCATAGTCAAGCAGCATTAACATCGCAGAAACTAGACTGAAGCCGTCCTATAGGTTTGTGATATATACATAAGGTTATTATAAATATAATTTATTTTACTGTAGTTAATTTTTATAATAGCTTTTCAAACTGTTACTAATGATGACATCATAGCGAAGGCTGAAGAGTTTGCTACCAAAGAGAATAATTATAATCACTACGTTTATTTGCTACCTTTGACAAATTGTATTATCTATGTCAGAAACTGACATTTTACATAGAGATTTGTTAATGGTTCGTCTTACGAGTCTTAGAATAATTACATACATAGAAATCTAAAATTTTACATAAATTGAGTCAATAAACTTGTCTCGCTTTTCCAAATTTTATTTTCAAATAAGGCAAAAAAACTCCAATCTATTGAAAGATGTTGCGTGTAATTCATGCGTAGAAATAAAAATGTTCATTGTTCTCTTTATTAACACTAGTATCTTCTGATTTATAAGTAGCGGCATGAAAGTCTAGCGTTGACCGTTATTGCGCATAAGTCGCGCTGATTGGCTCATGCGTATCGATCGCACGCGCTGATTGGCTTGCTAGTCGCATTCGTGCAATTCAATTCGTGCGCGTGTCCTCCACGTTTCATTCAGCACTAGACTTACGTGCCGCGACTTGTACTAGAAAAATGACATCCCTACATATTGTAGTAGTATTATATGTGACGTTACTTTACAAGACTTGACGTCTTTAATCTATAGTGATTTCGTTCGTCGTTTCGTGGTCATTTATTATTAATACTAAAGTATTATAGGTCTAAAAATATAAACAAAATAGGACTAGACTTATTATTATTCGAACGATCAAGTAAATTGTTTTCAAAATCAAGTGATGATGATTATATTACATTGCAAATTAAAAACTAATAGTTAGTCGTGAGGTCTCGACAGTCACACTCTACATAAGCGACTTGGATTCCATTTGTAATCCCAATTTAATATGTTAGATTCACCACTTGCTCAGCGGAAAATAAAACCACCGCGAAAGCTATATCTGTATGGACGAAAACATTTCGAAAGCATAAATTGAAGACAGGATCATGATAGTACCGTGTAGCGGATGCGTAAGCGAATCCACTACCTCATACTAAGAAGATATAAGACCCCATCACATCCTGTGAGTAGAATGAAACAGGAGATAGACAGAAGCATCTTCCTGATAACAACTCAAAATAATAAAATAATGAGGTTGCCAACCCACGTGCTAAGAAAGGGAACTATGGTAAATATTCCCCCTATGAGGCAATCTATGGAAAAGGCCTACGTTCAGCAGTGGACTTTTGATAGGTTGTAATTAATGAATGAATGAATGAATGATAATAGCATGAGCAGCAGAGAGGAAAACGGGTAATACACGTTCGTAATCGATTTATTGATAGTTGTGGTGGAGCGAGCAAAGAGGAGGCAGACTGTGGTCGTGCCGCGGTTTCTGTATTACTTACTATGTACTATCGTAGGAGTGACCTTTGTGTACCCATTATTAACTATTTATTTATTTATTATCAGAAGAAACATAAAAATCGGTTCACTCGTTTCCAAGCATACGGTGAGCATACACAAAAAAAACACAAGTCAAATATAGATTCTTGTTTCTGGAACGCAGTTAAAAATCCTCTAAAAATAGAAATAAATGAAAAAGTTAATATTTACCTGTGTATCGCCTTTTACTGGCAGCTCGTGCGTAACATAGCAATGCTCCGAGGAAGAAGACGGATGAGAGCATTTCCGCTCTGCCGACGACACCGGTTACCTGTATCATAAAAGAAAAACATCTAATAAATTTATCCTGCAATAACAAATTTATTTTCTTGATAAATTATTGTTCAAGAACGCCATAATACCTAATATACATTCTTAAAATTTAACGTAAAGTTTATGGCATGTATTATTTTTATATAAGTAAGGGTGACGAACGAACACACAGTCCACCTGATGGTAAGTGGATGATGTGGTCCATAGATAGATGTCTATGAACCATACCACAGACGTGAAGAAACACGTGGAAATACCACGTTCTATACGTGGTAGAGCCATGCTGCAACTATATTAGTAGTATGGTTGTAGCACGAATGGGTCGGCTCGACCGGGGAAGGACCACGCTCTCACAGAATATCAGCGTAAAATGTCAGTTTGACACTGCTGTGTTTCGTATGGTGAGTGTAGAGAACCGGAGACCCATTTTACTGGAAAAGAGGCATTACATCTTAGTCCTCACGGGTGACGACGCATCTGCATTTTGATTCTTTATTGAGTAAAAGGTAGATGTCTATGGGTCACAGGAACCACTTACCATCAGGTGGACTGTGTGCTCGTTTGTCACCCTATCTTATAATAAAATACATACTTCGTTGAATGCTTCGTTTCCAGTAACAAGGGTCTACGGTTCTCTACACTCACCATACAAAAGACAGCAGCATTAAGCTGCTATTTTACGCTGGTATTCTGTGAGAGCGTGGTCCTACCCCGGACGAACCAACCCATTCGTGCTACAACCACAATATAGCTGCAGCATGGCTGCAACTATATTGTGGTTGCATGGTGTATGTAGATAACCGGACAGTCTTTTTACCGGTAACAACGCATACCTTCCTTGTCCTTGTCGGAGGTGACAAAGCAACTGTATTTTGAGCTGCGTCTTCTTAATTACAACTAAAAATAAATCACCGGCCAAGTGCGAATCGGACTCTCGCATGAAGGTTTTCGTATCATAGTAAAACACGTTTCTAGTAGGAGAGACCCTTTAATTTATAATTCATTTTTATTATTTGTTGTTATAGAGACAACAGAAATACACATTCTGTGAAAGATTCAACTGTCTTACCTATTACGGATCATGAGATACAGTCCGATGAGAGACAGACGGATGGATAGCGAAGGCTTAGTAATAGGATCCCGTTGGTAACTCTTTGGGTACGGAACCCCAAAAACTGCGGTTGCCAACCCGCCTGTCAATCGTGGTAACTATGGCAAAATCCCCCTTATGAGGCAATCTATGAAGAAAGCCTGTGTGGCAGCGGACTTTTAATAGGCTGTAACGGTAACTGCCACTAAAGAAAGTTGTTATCTCACACTATACTTGATTAAATCAATTTGCTGAAAGTATTGAACCGCATATCCTGTTTGTGACGGAAAATTGTGGCTATAAAATACCGAAGGAGACGCCGAAGGTAGTGGGTGTAAAGTCTGCGAAAATATAGGAGGCGGCCGCCATTGAACGGCGAGTGGGTCCATAATATAACAAACATTGTTACAACGTTAGCGGCGACATTTACGACACCTCTTCTTCGTTCCGCCTCCTCGCGTCTTCATAACAAATAGTTATGTAGCTACAGCAAAACAAGTAACATTTTGTTAGAGAAATACTTATTTTTCGGTCGCAGGTATTGCATGTTTAATCAGACTTTCGTAACGTGCAATCGATTACTAAAAAAAAGTAATTGATTACAAATTATAACTATAAAATATTAAATGTATGGTAAAATATTACATGGTTATCGCTAGAAAACGATAACTCGAACGTCATGTTTCTTCCCGGCAATAATTTTTTTTTTATCTCGTTTAATATAAGTTTTATATTTTAAATTGTAAAATGAAATAATTGTGTAAATATCGTTTTAAATTTGGAATTTTGAAACTTTTTATTAATTAAATGTTATTGTAAAAGGCCGCACTTGGGTAAATCTAAGGATTTTCTTTTAAATCTTAGGATTTACCGACATGAGCTGTTAAATGCAAGGTTTGGTATAAAATGAGACGATTTTCGGGGCTTTTACCCTTAGAGTTTGGTACATGCTAGGTTTTACCAATGACTATTAGTAAATGTTGGTTTTGGAAATAAAAAAAATATAATATAAGTAGAAAGTATTTATTAAACACCGAATCATGTTACCGACTAAATTTTAAAATGTTTTTATGATGAGTTTTTAACGTATAATACAGATAAATATATTTGTTTTCTTCTCACAAACATAATACCTACGTTAGCTACGCTTACTACTCATTAATTTTTCTTATGATATTATTGTCAGTAAGTACAAATTAAATCTCATATGGTATTGACTTTATAGTTACAAGAACTTCCTACAATTGTCTCGTGATTTCTTTCTCCGAATCAATATCGCATTATCTAGTGACATTATCATCAGTTGTTATATTAGAAACATCGGATTTTCTCTTAGTCTTCACTTTCTCCGTAATAATATCTTCTTGTATTTTATTCTTGACAGCGTTATTGGACAATGATTCTTGTGATTATTTCTCAACATTAATATCTTCTTCGTTATTTTAAATTAAATTTTCGGCGGAAATATATTGTACCGCATTTATCTGTGAATGCAACAATTTCTTCAAATTTGCAGATCTTAAACACCAATCATATCTCTAAGGGTCGCTGAAGTTGCGATGCCCATTTTCATTGGAAAACCAAACATTACTTCGTACGAGGTTCCTTTGACTGTCTCATGATATGCTCTATTTTTCGTTGCCCGGATGAATGTTAAGCCCTCTGAATATTTTAGCCTTTAATTTCTCTAAGCTCTACGCATTCATCCCTATCGAGATGAAAGTTTTTGCCTTCTTTTTTTGTCACGAGTTCGTATAGTATTCCATAAAATCTTTGTTTCACACTCATTTTGTCTCATAAATACTTCTAGATAACAAAAGCGTACGTAGTAATCGACCAATTATGTCTAGCGGAGAGAGAGGTGACACTGCACACTGTCCGCGAGCACGATAATGCGTCAAACACTTTTAGACTAGATTATTTTTCAACATTTTACGTGTCTTTGAGGTAAAACCTAAGATTTACTAAGTTTATGGTAGTAAAAGTCCGAAATTAATGATTACCAAAGAACCGTTCGGACTTTTACCATTAAGACTTACCATAAATCCTAGGTTGTACTGGAAAATCTTAGGATTTACCGTAGTTCGAGCTTTTACAGTAATAAATAACTTTCACATACTAAATTTGCCCCTATGATACGCGCGCCACTTACTGTAAGTTAATGGTAGCATGTCTATAACCTTCACGAAAGTGCAAGCAATAACTTCACAAAGTTTTATTTCTATCTCATGAGAGGTATCACAGCGCATAAACTTAGCTTATTTCATAGATTAATGATAAGTCATCGTGCGCTCTGACTAGATACTGCGCTCCCTGCAAGTAACAGCTCCATGATTGCGGCATCTTAATATTGTAGTGTGTATAAGACAATTTGCATGATGCTAGTGTGCGTGAAAAATTGTATATACCAGCAGCTTAACTATTACCCGATTAATGGGAAAATTTATTTTATGCTATGGCTTAGTAGTTAAGTTCATAGTTATGAATGTATTCCAGAAATACTTAAAAATGAATAGTTTATTAATAACGAATGTATCAATATATTTGTCTATATTATGTATAGGTTTTCCTTCTGAATAAATGACATATAAATGATAAGGCCTCCTTTTTAAGAGTTTAATATTTTTATTTACATGTCTAACTAATATTCACAAATTATTTAAAAAAAATAGTTACATATATGGTGTAATCAAAATAGTGCTTTCTATTCTACGCGTCAATATGAACAACTTTTACTATAGATCTATCTTCCAAATCGCAAGAAAAATTAGGTCTTCCATACATTTTGAGCAAGTTTGTACGAAATTTTGTATGGAATAACTGATTTTGAGATATTTTTTATAGGATCAGTCTCCGGTTCTCTACACTCACCATAGTTTCAAAAATTGTTTGGTTGAGTCTACAGCCTAAACGGATGGACCGATTATTTTTATTTTGCAAGCTCCCGTGCAGTCGGGTGTTTTTTTAAATTATTTTTTTCTCTTTGTTATAGTATTACTAAATAGTATTGTATAATAATTTTCAAAATCGAATGTGACCATTTAGTTACACGGTTTTTAGAATACCTTAGGATAAATTATTTAACTGTGACACAGTTGCAGCTGCCGGCCAACCTCTAGTATTTTTATAAGTGGTTGAATAATAAAACATATTTTGTAAATGCGTACCTCATTAATTTTTATTTAATTATATTTTTCTATACAAAAAAATTCAGACTCTAACTCAATAGACAACACAATTGAAAGCACCATATTAAAATATTATAATTTATGATTTTATTAACATGGCATAATTTTACAGTTTTTCCCCATTTTATATTTATTGATAGTTTACGTGGTAGAGCCATGCTATTAGTAGTATAGTTGTAGCACGAATGGGTTGGCTCAACCGGGGAAGGACCACTCTCTCACAAAATACCACCGTAAAATAGCAGCTTCAAACTGCTGTCTTTCGTATGGTGAGTGTAGAGAACCAGAGACCCATTTAACTGGAAACGAGGCATTCCATCTTAGTCCTCACGGGTGGCACCGCATCTGCATTTTGATTCACAAACGAGGATAGATGTAGATGTCTATGGGCCACAGCAACCACTTACCATCAGGTGGACTGTGTGCTCGTTTGTCACCCTATCCTATAAAAAAAATTATCCAGATAGATTCATTTGCTGGTAACTCCCAGATACAAATGACGCTGGAGTAAATATAGCAACCGCTAAGCGTGTGTGCGTGTAAATACTGGCCAGTTTTTGTCGTTGCATCGCTCATTGCGTGAGGCGTTATCTAGCGAACTTTGATTATATACATGTCATATAATCAAAGCGAATAAATAATCTCAGCGCATAAAATACAAACAAATAAACATTAAATTACATAGATATTACGAGTACAATAACGTCGGTTCAATGAGTC